AGATTGTTGTCTTCTGGGTTGTGGGGTCGTGTAGTCTGGTCGATGTTTACCAACTTTTCTGAGGTCATACTGCCTCCGTCATCAGGACGATGAAATGATAGTTCTGTATGGGTGTGAAACTTGGTCTCCGACACTATGGGAGGATCGTAGACTGAGGTTGTTTCAGAAAAGGGTGCTGAGGAGATTATTTGTCTGTCCATGTTCTCAGTAATGATTCTAGATAACAGAATGTTCTTTTATAAAATTGCTTCTATAATTAGGATGCTTACAGGAGTACATTTAAAGAAGATAAACAACAAATAGCATAAATGAAAGGGGAAAAATCACCTGCCGTTGAATATCAGCTGGCCTTTTCCACTATGTTAAAGATAGAATACAATCTCTAGACCTACTTTGATTATCTTAAATCAACTTATGTCACGTCGTGTCCCGTTGCTCGGCTGTTGTCTCATTCGTAAATTCATTTTGTTAACTACACACACATTTTATGTGAAATTCATTCCTTTATGAAACAACTTTTTCCCATACAAAGCGAGTTAAAGTTATTTTATAAACCAAACCCTTAAAATTTCTTCCTTATTTCTGTTTAAAATGTCGTGTTAAATTTATCCTCTCGTTAAACTGAGACATCTCACGCGCTCTAAAATGTTGGTAGTATGGCACCATTCCATAATAATTAAAATTCCTATGTTGGCCTGCGTAGAGTGTAAGGAAAATAATAAGTCCAGTGTTCTCCTTTGCTCCAGGGGTCGGCAATCTTTTCATTACCGCGGGCCGCATTGTCTATTTGTTGCTTTGTCGAGGCACGCAGGGGCCGTAAGCGAACCTGTATTTGCCCAACTTTAAGATTGAAGCTGTAACGACATTTTTAGTTAGATTTCAAACAGTTCTGATTTGAAGTCACGGTTAATTTTCTAAAAATTCAGTTATTAATGCCGCAGTAATTTTCGTATTGTTTTTATTAAATTTCATATGACTTGAACAGAAAAATATACCATCGCACATAAACAATTTCATCGTTACAGGCCTACATTTACAAAACCGTTATTTGTTTCATTAATTTTAAGCGACTGTTCGCCCTTCACATTACATAATATATTGTTTTATTTATATTCGTGTTCCTCATAGGCAAAGATTCCCTGATGGCACTGACGAATTCCCAAATCATATAGCATATCGCGTTTAGAGGTTGCTAGGGTCAAATGCGGCCCGCGGGCCACAAGTTCATACCTTATCCTGCACCAATACACTGCGGTTTCAGGGCAACGGGACAGCCGTTGGCTTGTACACGTTTGGTCATCGTACACCCACGTAGTTCTACCTGAGAACACTGGACCTAGTTAGCACACGAGTGTTAATATGACCCTATATGTGTTGATCACATGGAAGGTAGCATACGTGGGCGGGACTTCTTGCAATATACACGTAAGTAGTTAGTAAATGAATAAATAAATAACGCTCAGGGCACAATAATCGAAATGGGCTTAGGGAAGGGGAAAGGACCTCGGCTTCTCGGCAAATACGTACTGCGGATTCACGTCTGTTGACATCAACGGCTTCAGATCACTCTGCTTTGTGCAGCCAATTATTTTGAACCACGAGCGAAGCTACAAGTTTACTTATTTGAGATAATCTAACTTTATTTACCTTGTTTTTAAGTGTGTTTGTAAAACGGGTAAGGAGTAAAAGTTTAGTAATAGTAATAATCTATATTTTAAGTTTATTTACCACATTTCGTATGCAAATAATTCATTATTTAATATGTAGCTGTGTCCATTGCTAGGATATTTCTAATATGTACTGTTAAGATTCAATTTTCAGATGGTCAGAGGAGAGAAAAGGAGAAATGGAACCAGCCCACAATACAGTCTACTATTGAAGCCGTGACGAATAAATAAATGGGATTTGTGAAGATGTCAAATATTTTCAATGTCTCTCGATCGAATCTTAAAAATTATGTTAATCGCAATACAAAGCATGTAGATAACCTCTAGAAAATGATTCTGCGAAGGAAAAATGTGTTACAGTAGCATGTAAAATGTTCAGCACTCTGGTAATGGAATACGATTTTATGGTTCGCATTCTTCTGATTCCAGACAGTTGACATTTCAGCTAGCCTTCTAGAACATATTATAACACTTATTTCCAGTCGAAAATGTCATACCTAGCAGAAAATATTTAAGAAATTTCATTGTCCATATTGCATTTCTTTCGTTCCATAGGCCAAAATCCGTGTCTATGGGAAGAGTGATAGGGTTCAATAGAGGAAAGTTGACCCTAGTCTTCAACTTTATGAGGCCAGAACTGGACAAAGTTTAAATCTGGTCCATTTCAAGTATTTATCAGGCGTAATTACTGTCCAGCACAAGCCCAATGTCGCAATTAGTATGAAGTGCAAAAAGCAAAGTTTCGAACCTGACAACGGCAGAAATAGGTTAACCGGTCACTCTTTCGATGTGTTTGCGTAACGCAACTCATTATGTTTCCCAGGGAAAACATGAACCTCAACTCAATAGATGTTTACCCTCCTGGGACTATCAGCCTGTCACACATCGGGTTTCATCCACTTGCAAATTTTCACCATTGGCTTCAGAACTTCATTAAGATGTATGAAGAAATATCCTTGTTCTTCAATGACTGCATATGAAGTGTGAAGCAGAGAGAAATGGAAAATGTCCTCGATGGTTTAAAAGATTGTGGCGTCTTTCTGCTGAATCCCTACATCTTCAGAGACCACGACTTTGTACCTCATGTCACAAGATGGTGGCAAAGAAAATGGATCTATTATTGGAACTCCTGACAGAAAAGCAGCATCCTAAATCCAAAAATCGCCTCCATCCGAAAGCCAGGTCAGCCCATTTCAAATAATTCCACCGCCAGCCATGCCAGCTAATCAAGCGCATATCATGAACTGTCATGAATATTAGATCAAAGCCTTCGAATTTAAAATTATAAATAGACTAAATATTCGTGATAGTTTCTGGAAACTTAGCTGAGCGTTCTGTCTCCCGGGATAAACGCTATCGCACAAATAGTTTCGAGTACCCTCGCTGAAGTTTCTGAATGGGACCCTACAATCTCAGCCCTTCCCGGCAGTTACCCTGATATGGGACCACGATTCGTTGTTGGCAATTCAGTCGTTAGCTGAGCCATAAGTGCGTTTGTACGACCAAGAGGAAGAAATAGTGTTTAAACTTCAAGTGCAGAATAAGTAGTGAGTCTACCAAATCATAAAAGAACACTAACTTAAAATTGGAACAAGTCAAGACTTTCAAATTCAAAAAACAATCCGATCCAGGTAACATTCTCAAAAGCAAGTCACCGGTAACCTCAAGATATTTTGACGTTAGTGTATTCTTTAGACATTTAAGAAACATTTTAACAGCTTTTTGTTAGTCGTAAAATGTTGGAAAATAACATCATATTCAAAATTTCTCTCAT